TTGATTATTGGATGAAAAATTGAAATAAAGTCCTCATTAGTATTTCCATCGGTACCTGAAATGAGTCTTTTTAAAACAATTGCTCTTTTCATGTCTGACGAGTCCCTTAATAGAATGCAGTTGCATTTGGTGTTATGTTTTACCTTGTATTAGCCATTTTGCTATTATTGATATTCAAATGTCGAACGGAGGGATAAGTCTGTTAAGGGACTTGAATCACATCTTTATCTCACATTTCTAGTTTGAACTTTTTAAATGCGTAAATATCGGCCACTTTCCAACTTCTTGCTGAGTACCAACTCTTACTGCGTAGGCCAGGTCCTTTTGGCAGCAACATTGCGAATGCAATTGTATCCTACACTGCAACAAGATAGATATCTCAGCCCCGTATTTAGTACAGTTTTTGATATGAAATGTTAACCATATACCTTTAGAATATCTTATTAGCAGCAATTCTGTAACTGTAATCAGACCTAGATAACAAGGCGCGTTATGCGTAGTATCTTCATCTCATGTAGTCTAACTGTCAGGTAATATGATGCTATATTCTTCATAGGCTAATGATAAATTTCGGAATTAACATGATGGTCGTGGTTAGAATAAGGATTATTTAGCCCATTTTTTATATGCTCGTCTCATAATTTTTCTTCCCTATTCTGTTACTTGTTTTGTAAGGCGTGGCCACGGCAACTGTCAGCGAACCTGATTCTAAGTCGTCTCATATCGCTTGTCTACGCCACTTTGCCAAACTTTGTTCCAAATGTACACCGGCTCAATGCACACTCTGCTACCGTTATACGCTTGAAGAGCTGGCTGAACTCGATATGGCACTGGCTGATCGACTCACCGGCTACTATTCTTGGCAGGCCGAGATGCGCGGATTAGTCGATTCGGTAAACTTTGCAGTGCCTGGCCGTACCTTAGACACCCAGCGTGTCTGCAGAGGCACGCGATCCACTCCTGCTGAGGGTCACATACTATGTCGTCAAAATGACGGGCCAGCTGGCAAGGAAGAGGTCAAGGGCCAGCAGGCGTCCAATAGTACTGCTTTGTTGACTCAAACTGCAGAACCAGAGTGCGCGCAGGATTTTGAGGGGCATAAAGGAGCGACTGAAAAGTCTTACACTCCATTCACTCTAGAAGAACTTAAGGTATGTTAAGCTCGATGATCTTGCCGCTATTTTTGATGCGATGACATTTCTGTCATATAGCACCTGAACTTTTGTTGATTAATCTAACTCGATACCATACATGGTCTTGTCACTGGCCTTTCTTCAAAGGAGGATTTGTATGCTACCCTCACTTCCTATCACAGTATTTTTTTACTCTTAACAATTTTAAAGACAGTTATTTTCATTTAACTTGATCTTTTTGTTGTCCATATCTCAAAGAATCATTTGATTAAGAACTGCTAATTTTCAACTCTGTCTGGACCATAAACTCATCTTATGCCATGCAGATGTATTTTGTAGGCCAAAAAGTTGCTATATGCTTTCATAAGA